AGATGTTGAACAGCGCTGGACCCAGAATAGACCCCGGAGGAACTCCACTTATCACTGGTCTCCATGTGGACATCGAGCCATTGACCACAACTCTTTGAGTGCCACCATCCAGCCAGTTCTTTATCCACCGAGTGGTCCATCTGTCAAATCCATGTCTCTCCATTTTAGAGAGAAGGATGTCATGTGGATTCTGCCACTACTTAGCTGTAGAAAAGTTGTATGTAGGTTACCCCTTAAAATATTGCTCTTGATACAGGGATCGGAAGTCCCGTAGAAAGTGGTCCTGTGTAGGAGGTGAGCCAAGGTCACAACAAATTCTGAAAGCTCCTCCTTCCACTCTCACAGCTAAAGAAAACAGGAACTAGGTTGTTGGTTTATTGTCGCTTATTATTTGCTCCTGATTTTGAATCCTGTCTATAGTGGCAGTGAAAATAGCTCCAGAACCGTTTAGAAACAAGCAATCCCTTTTTCACACCAATATTTGCATTGCTAGCACCTGCAATTTTAACGCATCTTTGGTTTTGGTGAGGTGCTTATTCTTTCTTTGGAAATGCTGACCGTAGCAATTTAGTATACATTACCTACCATTGGCGGGAATCCAGATTTTTCAGTTCTCGCAGTAATTTTGAGTTTTTCTTAAGAAGATGAAAGCTTTTTCTACAAATACATATTAAAAAAAAAGAGATTTGAAGGAAAATGCAAGACAGTACAGATGCAGTATCTTCTCATTCAAATATCTAAAAGAAGAGAATCAAATTAGCATTTGAATGATTCTTATTTTAACGATTATTATGAACAACCTGCAGAAGTCTATTTAAAACGATCACTGAAGCGGGTATATGTAAAAATTCAAAAGATTTCTCTAACTATCACCCAGCTATATAATTCTCACTTTCTTAAGTATGTGCATGTTTAGGGAGTAGACATGAGAAGAGTAGGAGTACCATAAATGCGCCACGAATCCTCTTTTCCTACCTTCTGTCCCAGGAGTTCATTCCCAAGTCACTCAGCAGCAGCCGACAGAAATAAAAGGACGCTTGAGGTTCAGTGGGACACGGTTCTTCTTGACAGGCCACCTTCATACCAAGGTCCGAGCTGCATTTAACTACGTGCTCTTCTTCCCGGGCACTCTGCCGCAGCAGGGCTTCAGTGATGGCACACTCTTGCTCTGAGCTCATCCCAAAGGGTGGCGGTGATGGCTCATTCAGCTTTCGCTGAGGATGCAGGAGGCATTCGGGACTGGTGCTGCCGATCCTTTCCAGCAGCTGGTCAAGAGCGTCCTCTCCTTCCTCCACCTGAGAAACATCTTTCTGGGAAATCAAGTGGTGCTCGGGGTTGCCCGGGATCACGAACGCGCTGGTCGCGCCCTGCCGTGGGAGGCAGCCCTCCAGAGGTCCGTACAATATCCTGCCATCCCAAGAGTACTTCCCTGAGATATCCCTGACAATGACCCTGACGTCCGAGGGGCTCACTGCTGCCTCGGTGTCCGTCTTCTTCTCCGCAGGGATTTGGAGGTAAGAAATAAGAGTGCTGTCATTGAACACGAAGAGCTGCAGGTTGGGGCTCCGGAAGACTTCCGAGGACAGCTCTGAGGACTCCACGTAGGAGTTGTCATGGTTCTCGCTCAGGAGACTGTGGAGAATGGCTGGGCCTCCACTGAGTGGGTAGTGGCTCAGGTGATTCACCAGGTGAGTCATAACCATTCGCGCCGTTAAAGGTATCAGTTCCAAATTCCTCCTCTTTTTTTCTAAAGCCATCAATGAAAAGACAGTAGATCGATAAGAGCAGCAAGAGGCAACTGAAAAGGAGCAAATTTCTGTCAAATTTCAGAAGCTGGCCTTAGTTGTCCTCTTAATCCTTCCTGTTCGAGAAACCACTCACAATCACCTTCCAAGAAATTCTACCTGCTGCACATTGTTATTTTATTTTACCACATGCCCTTTGTCTGACGTTTAGCCTGCTGTGACCCCCAGGTCTCCATACAGCCCGCAAACCATCTCGCACACCGCTCCCACCACGTCTGCTGTCACTGCACTTTCATCTGGCAAGCTGAGGTGTTTCTCCCTGCTGCCTGCACTCTTACAGTCACATCCTCACCCAACTTCTGAGGAATAGCTGTCTCGTGCAGCAAGGGGAAGCACATTTCCAAGAAGGAGATGTAAACTGGAAAGCTTTAATTCTCAGCCCCCCGAACTCCCTTACCCTCAGCCACAGTGAGCAGGTTGCCCAGATCGGCAGAGGAGTGGCACTGGGCTGGCTCGAAGCTCTTCACATTCCCCAGTCGCAAAAACGGGTCGTAATCACTGGATGAGAGGTCGGCCAGGCTCAGCACGTAGTGGCTCTGCTGAGTGTAGGTGCTGGAGCCATTCACACAGCAGTGCAGAACCTGCAGGCAGGCACCATGGCAGGGAAGATGTGATAATGCACACACACATGGCAGCACCTGCTCAAATACTTATTTCTGCAAAGATCATTTTCCCCAGCTCATTGTTTGAAGCATTCTACCTTTTCCTCTTCACCATCCTCTGCCTGTTCTACATCTCTAATCTTACCTCCACATTTTGTTTTCCTGACTTCTCATCTCTAGGACTTCTTCCCACACTGCGACAATTTATGAATTTGTACAGCTTCTTAAAAATGCCCCTGTGCCTAACAGGATTTGTGAAAGGCGTCTTTAAACATCTATTCACAACACATTGCACATTCGTTCCTCACACTCACTCTGTAAATATAGTCGAGCAAAGGAGCTTTGGATGCATGTTGATCTTCAAGACCATCAGCAGACACCGGCTCCAGCAGCATTTTCATGGGTAATGCCATACACCAATCCAGCAAGCAAAGGAGCAGTGAAACTATAAACTAAAAACAAAAAAAAAAAACCCCAGAAGCACGTGACACAGTATTCAGATGTACTCTGTTAAATTCACCCGAACTTAAACGTATGAGTTTGAAAGTTTAAAATATGACTCTGTTTCAAAGTGACTTCACTCAATACCCATTCTGAACAGCACAGAGAAAGAGAGAAGATTGCTCTTTTCCGTGACGTACCTTTTTATCTGCTTCCACAGAGGAATATTCTGCACTCGGCAAAAGAAATGCAATAGTGGCCACAAGGATCTACATTAAAACAAACAGAATTCCAGAAAGACATTTAACTTCTTTTGGTACAGAGACAGAACATGAACTTCATTTGAACACGGTATGAAAAAGGTTAAATTCTCTTAGGAGCATCTAACTGCCCTGGTAAACCAACATCCAAGTGAAACAAAAGGATCTACTTGGCATTTTGGAAACGTATTGCTACAAATGAGAGAAGTCCCCGCTCCAAGGAGCACAGCAAGTGCCTCTCTTAACAAAAATGGCAGTAGGAAAACAAACTTAATGTTAAGTCCCAGTTACAGTAGCTCAAGTAAGGAATTTAGACAACTTTGTGTACAATTTCCATACAAACATTTTAAAGAAACTGACGTACTTCCGTTATTTTTCTGGACAGAGAGGATTCGTACATCTGAAGCTTTTGCCAGTAAGAAACCAGCAGCTGAAGAACGTCGCAGGCTACCTGAGCTACTGGCTTGTTAGGAAACTGGAAGAGAAAAGGTGATTAAAAGCCAAATATAATATCCTGATACAATACAACGCATTCACTTTTTCTACATTTTAAATTATTTTGCGCCTACACAAACAACAAGAAAAGGTCAATGTTGCAAAAATCCCCTTGTCAGCATTAGGAGAGAGCAGGCTTGACACCAGCTATATAATCTTAACCAGGTCCCTTGTGGAAAGGGTCTTTAGGTGCATAAACACATGCTATTTCTGCAAATATTTTGCAATTTTTTTATAGGGTACCACTTTGGGTCCCCTGAAGAGCTGTGCATATGCCCTGAACTCTGCTCGCTAAAGGTAATTACACACCAAGGTTCAGAACTGGGAGGCTGCTTTTGGAAGATGGCTAATGCCCTATCACTAGTATCATGCAAAAAGTCCCAAGCAGTTGGGCGTTAAGCAGCCCCCAGCCAGCACTCTGCGCTCTGTATCATCAGCAATTATTTAACAAACAAACAAAAAAAGGAAAATCCCTTTTTCACATAGTGCTTTTATTGTCAGAGCAATACCTTCAGGGTCACACCTATGACATTGATGGCTTCCTTCACTTGGGGATGGTTTGTGCACTGTGTTAGCTCTTCACATATCCAAACTCCGAGGCCACAAATGGCTACACATCTTTTTCCAAAAGAAAAAGAGGTTTTGTCAGAAGTTTTAGAAGAATATTTAGGAAACAGAGAAAAAAAAAAAAAAAGAAAAGAAATTCACAGAGATACAATCTCTCTTTTCCCTCTCACACAAGAAGTCGATGCCCTTGAGTCGCAGAGTGGACCTTACCTGAACAGGGCTAAAGTAAAGAGCTCATCTCAATAGGATCAAACCACAAGGCAGTGCTAACAACTCAGCTGGACAAACACCAGAAATAAGTGGCAAGAAAGGCTTCCCTGTTTCCCCACTCCCTTTACGCAACATTTTACCTTGCAGCTTCATCTGGCTCCTCTGTAGCATTCTTCAGTAGAATATTTATGAGGTAGCACTAAAATAGTAAAATAAATGAGAATAAGCATCTTCATACAAGCATATGGGCAGCACGATGGATATCAATTTGTTCTCAGAGTTCATGGGTATTTACTAACAAAGAGTGGTGGTTTCTTGGAAATACAAACTATACTCAAATGACAGTGTGCAGTTGCAAGGTTTTGAGGAGAAGGAGGGGCTTATTTTTTAAACAAAAACGTGCAGTAATAATGAAGTGACTGAAGATTCAAAACTGGCTGCGTTATCCAACAATTTACTACTGAAAGGTGACTTTACCTTCACATCTGCAGTTCCCGCGATGATCTCACCAGCTTCTGAAATGGGCCGCAACAGTGGGATTTCTTGGTAGACGTTTGGAAAGCAAACAAGAGAACCAAGGATGGTGTGAGCTTCTGAACGGGGAGCCTAACGAAGGAAAACCAACCCAAAATATCCATTAAAAACACTTCATGAAGTTACGAAATGACATCTCGTGTAATGCTGAAAACATTAACGCTTCACGCCTGTGGGAGAAACGGGAGGTGGCCATGTTACACATCCTTTGCTAATTTAATCCATTAACAATCGCATTTCTACTTGCATTGATATTTAGTAGGGAGTGCTGTTACTACCAGAAGGGTTCCATATTTTCAGCTTGTGCTCACTGAGAAAAGCTAATGAAAATCTGAAGCGCAAGCCCCGGTTTCAGCACGGCGGCATGCTGCAGCCTTAGCGAGGACCCAATTTCTCACACTTCAGCCTTTTTGATGAAACACCTCTGCAACAGCGGCATGTCGCCCCATCCCACAGTGTCACGCAGTGTCTGCCGTGAGATCTGCCCCATGAGCCCCGTTTCGCATTGCGCTATTGAATCGACACCCGTGGGAGCCTCATTAGCAAGGGGGGATGCTCGGGGGCCGTGGGCATTGCCAGGCTCACCTCCGGCGCATCCGTGCTCAGAACCCTGGCCGCCGCGGTAATGAAGTCTCCAATCAGCATCGTAAAGCCGGGTAAGCCCAGGAAGAAAAACCAAGGTGGGCAGTGCTTTACAACAGTATTTAAGATATCCTGAAAGAGAAGTTGCCTGATTGAGAAGAAAAAAGAAAACAAAAAAAAAAACCAACACAAAACACCCTCTACGAAACAAAAGAGCCCGAAACTAAAAGGGAAGGTTTGAGAAGATTTAACTTTGCAGTTCCTCAGCTCCATGCTCATCAAGGCGATAAGTCAGAGGGACACAGCTCCATCTATAATTGGTCATCATGTAACAAACAGTACTTCCCGCTGCAGGTGAATTTAGTAGGAAAAGAGAAGAGCATTTTGTACTTTAGTTACACCTGTTAAAAAAAAAAAGAAACAGACCCCACACCCATCTCTTCATGTCTAAGCACAACTGTTCTGTTAAATAAGAGTTTGGTTGCAAAACATTCAAACCATTAACCAATTTGAAGCATCGCACTGCTCCAAATAAGGGATTTCCTAAAGTAACATCACTCAAAATTCTGAGGCCATAAAACCACAAGATGACCAAAATGCCTGCCCTTAAGGAACGCAAGGCAGCAAGTGCCACTACTCCTGGGGGCTCAGCACACACCAGAGAATTTAGCTCTTCTGGCCTAGCTGAGAAACACAGCCCTGATGGATGCACGGCACAGTAACTCAGGTACCTCTATGCTCGCTGGTTTACTCTAAGTCACTCTTCTAAATAATTCAGATACCAGACAAAAGAGTTTTTGGTGAACTCTGGAAGCAGAAGAGGTGTTTCTGTGTCTTTAAGAGGTGGCACCTCGTGTGTAGGAATAGGCCATCAGCCACAGCTTCAGTCTTATCATCCTCCTGTGGCACAGCATGCATTCAAGAGAAGCATTTCAACTTCAATCCTTCCACGTCTCAATTCTTCACGGTCTCTCCAAATCAGAGCCAAGTTCCCCTATTTGAGTAAAGATTTCCTTCCTACAAGTTTTCATCAGGTTTAAAATTAGGCACCGAATCTACATAATCCTTACCTGCAACATTCTATTTGCTGAAGAATCAGATAAAGCTGTCTCTATACTGGGTAGAAAATTATTTTTCATTTCAATAATATCCCAGGGAAAAGCTGCAAAAGCAAACCATTTTCAACATCCACCTGTACTGGTTTTATGATGTATTAAAGAAGCCTTGAACTTAAATTTAGTCTGTGTCCATATGCTCAATTCCTACATCAGAAACTAAAAGAAGTCCAACTCATTTTTCTCTGTGAGAAGAGATGTTTTAACACCCCTAATATTTCGTCAGAGCCCTGCTAAACACCAGGACAGAATCTATTTATTGTTCCACTAAGTATTTATGGTGGTATCATCCTACAAAAGAACTGTTATATATTTTTTAATAAATAATATTTGTTTCCAGCGTTGTAGCAGATAATGCTTTCACTTCCCTGAATAAGCTAAAATGCCACTCAAGTTAATATTTAAACTAGTTTTAATCACTTCCTTTGATACATTTTAAAGTCAATATCACTCAATGCAAACATTCAAAATGAGGGAGCAGATGGATGCAGCAGCGCATAAAGTGGGTGGCAAACTTGCCCTGGGCGCAGAACAAAAGCCCCACCTTTCTGTAGTTAAGCCTCCGATTAAGGCACCGGGCTCCGCGCGGCACAACGCACCTGTAATTACGACTGAGCCAGATACCGCGACACATTTGGCCTCCGAGTGATGGGACCCAGAACTACGAAGCACCAGATGGGAGCATGCTTCTGCCGACAGATGCCGTGATGAAAGAGCCCACGCTAACCTGGCCTGCAAGGTAACCTGGCCATAGGACAAAGCCCTGCCACCACCAACCGCCCTTGCTCCCTCAGCCCTAGCTGTTAAACATCACCAGGATCAGCAGCTCTAGCCCTGGTCATCACACAGAGCACTTAGGAAAATACCCACAAACACAGCAATTGCAAACTCGTTAGTTTAAATACCAATAAAGCAACCCATGAGTTTACAGCACAACCAATATAACTTTAACAAACGCTGCGACGACACACACATTCCACGAGAGGTGCAAGAATGCGGTCACGTGGACCTATTTGCTGTTTACAATACGTACTTCAAAAAATGAATCTTTTTCAGACTAAGAAAGCCTCAAAAAATTTATTCTGAAAAGCTAAGGAAACAACTCTCCACTTCTCTTTTTTGCTACGTAGCTTCAAACCAATGAACCAGGGTGCTGTGGCGACACGAGGCACACAGAGCTGCCCAAAGTCTGCGATGGGCAAGCGCTTGAGAGCCCAGACAGAAGCACGTTGAGCCTCGCTTTCTGCTGCCGCTTCTCATCTTGGGCATTTCAGTACAAACCTGTGATAGTTTGAGTGACCCCATGAAGTTAACCCGAGGCAGAACACCTCCTGACTACGCTACTGCAGCTCTGATCAAGTTTACTCTGCAGAGAAAGAAGGGGCAGGGAAAAACCCACAACCCAGGAGGGTGCTCCCAGTTATAACCCAACCATTTTTCTCCCGCTTCCCAATTAGTCCGCTCCCATGACACAGCCTGGCTAACAATAAAAGCGTGATCTCACGCAGTAATTCAGTAGCACGGCGAGCTTATCAGGAGATTCGGGTTTATGAGAAAGAGACCGAGTGAGAACATATGTCCTATCGGGGAGATTGCAAAAAATCAGGTAATTCAAACAGAGGAGAGCTGTTTCCTTCCCTCCGAAGCACTGCTCCATAAACGTAAACTCTGTCCAGCAGCTTCCAGCCTAGTAAATGAATCACTTTAATTGAATGCTATGTACACAGTAACTGGAAAAACACAAGCAATAAGAAAAACATATGGTGATGGCAATAGAAATTGGTTTACTCATTCTGTACAGTGTTGTTTCTTTACTTCTTTCATAATTGACCTGTAGAACGATAAATGCGTAAAATAATTTTGGTTTATTACGGCTCCAAACCTTTCAGCAATTACACAAAATGAAAATTTACAAGGAAGTATTCATTCTGGAAGCATTTCCATTGTTTACATAATTGCACAGCTACAATTTAGTGTTCATGTTGTTAAAGAAATGTGGGGAAAAAAAAGGACCATTACGGACTATTTCAATTCAAAATGATGCTCTGTAGTGTTAAAAATGGGAAGGAGGGGCGAGAAGGGGGCAATAACATGCATGTCCCTCTTAAATGCATTAACCCTATAAATGGCATAATATTTTAGCACAGGTTAATCTAGTAATCCAAATAACATCGTAAACATCCACTGAGTAAGTAAAAAAAATTTAGGCAAGTTCACCGAAAGGTCAGTTGCAAAAATATTCTTCACCTAATTTTTGTGGGAGCTTTTGCAGATTACAGGTGTAACCAAATAGCCTGCCATCTGCCTTCAGCACGTTCCCAGTTGTCCCTCGACACGAACAACATGGATTTTTCACTTAAAGTTCACTCTGTTCTTCACTGAGAGACACCTCATTAGGGGCTGAAATTTACAGCATGGAAAAGATCACTAATTTAGACAAGACTTAAGTGGAAAACCCTTCATTTTTTATTCTAAAGAAACTAACACATTTACTTATTTCAAGTTCTCTTAGCTATCGTTACATTGTAGATAAGTGTTAACTCGTCAAAAATTAAGTTGCAATAAAATTTTATGAAGTATTTTGACACCCTGAGAAAGCACAGGATTAGCTCTCCAGAAAAACATATTTCAAAGTGCTATGTAAATCTCACCTCCAGAAAAGTTACATTTGCTAAAGTATCTTGAGACCAGAATGCTTATTGCATTCTGAGAGAGATTAAAAACCAGAGGAACGTTGCATTTGTGAAACACAAGCAGGGTTATTCACGAGTGGTAGAGATAATAGATTACTGCCTAAGTCACCTGCTGGCAAGTGCCCCTTCCCCTCTAAGGCATGTTAGAAATCTCTCTCTTTTACAGAAGTATTAGGAACAAAAAAGAAAATCCCAAAGTCCTTGTGCTGACGGAGGGGTGCTCAGGTGCCCTCTTAACAGAGATCACACCACGCAAATGCAATTTTTAAAGTTTCTCCCCCTTTAGGGCATGAGTGATACCCCCACGGCCCAGGAGGCCACCGGGACGTGCGCGCTCTCCATCAGTTTTCAAGAGAGAGGAAGGTGTGTGAAGTATATGGGCTTGTTTCAGACATTTTTGTTAGCACACCCCCCAAATGGCCAATATGTTCAACCTTGTCCAGTTGTACACTGCTCCTCGCTGTTGAATAAGAAGTTCAAAGATATAAAAGCTCACAAGTGCTTTTTTTTTAACTTCAGATGGAAGTTAATACAAATACCTAACTAACAGAGCTTCTCCAGTAGCAATGTCACTAGAAAGACTCCACTAAATATTATACATTAGCCATTTCTCACGCAAAGATTTATAGTCAGTAGTTTTACACAGGACTACTATGGAACTGATGCTCCATAAGTAGCAACAATATATTTTAAACAAATTAAGAGGCTTAGAGACAAGCATAACACACGTTAGCCCACCGCTATCTTTACTGATGGAGCATTTCATCTAAGTCCTCCTTCTACTACTGGAAGGAACCGAGCTAAAAGCATAGCTGTTAACTTCCCTATCTGCAGCTGGGCTGTGTTTTGGGGGCAGCCCGGTCTGCATGTGCTGAAATTTAATCACCAAGGACATCTGTCAGCTCATTTGGATTTGGGTTCGGTTTTTTTTCCTGCCCATATTTCAAGTTTGTTTTGCCCTTAACATCACTAAACTCAAAAAAGCCACCAGCACCATCTCTTTCCTTGTCCTTTCCACAGAGAATTTCTGGAGTCTGTATTTTTTATTATGTTCCTTAGGGGGCCGGTTAGCTCAGTCAGTTAAGCACAGCGCTAACAATGCTAAGGTTGCGGGTTTGATTCCTGTTCGGTCCCCATGTCTTTCCTGTTCTAGTCAAGAGGTGGCGTCCCTGGCGGCAGGGAGGCTGGATTAAAATGATCTCTAAGGTCCCTTCCAGCCTAGGCCATTCTATGATTCTATGATTTTACATTTTCTTATATATCTAGGCACCCTATAACAAAAATAATAAAATACCTTTGCTTTCCCAGTTCAGGTATTTGTAAAATTTTTTGCACTGCATCATTAGACTTGGGTTTATGTTAAAAAACGCTGTATTTATTCTCAAAAGACATGCACACAGGTGCAAGGGGTTTTGAACCACAGGTCTCACCTAGCAGCACAAGGCAGCCATGCCTACCCACACCACCACTGGCTATCCCGCAGCTTCTCTTCAAAACCACACCCCAAGAACATTTCATGATTTGCCATAATCTGGACAAGGAATTGGAGCAACTGTAGGTAAGCTAACCCATGGCGTGGTAGCGAATCTCCTTGCCTTTACACTGGAGGTGAGGGAGGGGAGGTGGTGAGCCTCTGTGAACTTTGTTCAAAAAAAACCGGAGGCTTAAAAAAAGAAGATGGGCTCTCTAGAGAATGACAAAAACGCCCGCTGACTTGAGCGGCACAGGGGGCAGTCACCATCCTGCAGACAGTCGCTTGCCCCCTGACCCCAGGCCCCTTTGCAAGCTGGAAGTAATTATGCCGCCAGATCGCAAATTGGGCCACAGCGCCGTCTGCACGATGGCTTCTCCCACCTGAGAAGGTGATGCAATTCATACGGAGGATTGTTCCCTTCCTCATACAGAGATGTTTGTTGTCAGGCACTTCCACACGGCCAAATTAGATGCAGCTCATTACCTCGCGATCTCCTCTCTCATCTGCTAAGCTAATTGCTGCATCTTGAACTCAGAGTGCTGTGGGAGCTTCCTAGTAAATACACCCTCACATTGCTCTTTTATGCACCCCACGAGGCAAGCCTGCAAAGCCAGGCTGCACTTGCTGGGAATCATACTGCCGGGATTTACACCCATACTCCAAACTGCGTTCTACTGGCTTTCTATCACCAGCAAAATTCACCCAATACAGCAGAAATCTCGTATACTCACCTCCTCAAGCAAGGAGTGGAAAGAGAAACAGATTTCAAAAAGAAACACTTCTAAGTAAAATACTGAAGAACACGTTCAGGCTGAAGAGGTTTCTGATTAAAGTACGAAACCCACAAAATCAGTCTCAGTACTGTGACGTCCAGACTAGTCTCAGTGCCCAGCAAGCACCTTAATGTTTCCTATACTGGAAATGCAGAAGCAGGCACAAGGTTCCTGCTTCGTATCAACACACTGCATGAGAACCCGAGCTCCAAAGCACCGGGAGCCAACACCTCAACCAGCTCCAGGGCCTAGCAAAGCCAAACAGGCAGGAGGGTGATGTAAGAGCAAGCTTGTGGTCAAGAGTGCCACCAAGAGGCAAAAGAAGCAAACTCGAGCAAGGCAAGGAAGAACAAAAGAGCAGTGGCTATGTGCAAAATACCTGGGGCGCCCTGGCAAAATTTGAGTCTTAAAAAGTATTTCCATCCCTGTGCCGGAAGGAGCTGCTATACTGATCTACAGGTCTTTGTTTTTTCAAATATAAAATCAATTTTTTATTTTTTTTTAATCTGGACTACATTAGGCTTTAAAGCTTCTTGAGTCGTGTGTTTTACAGGACAGGATTTCATGCTGTATCGTTTTTAAAATTCAGGGGGTCTGATCATAGTGGGTGTTATCACACAGCCTATTTTTCTGTAAGGGAATGAAGTTACTCTGTACCCCAAGCAGTGTTAAATTGCCTAAAATCTCAATGGCACCTGCGAATAATGAGAGTTTATGCTGGGGTCCATGTGCCCCCTGCTGGCACCATCACCAGAGCTCCAGCCACTGCTCTCACAATTTCTTTTAGGGAAGAAAACTCACTCCTACCGCTATAAAAACACAGAATGTTTCTAGATGTTTTCTGTTTTGTCAAAAAAAAAAAAAAATTAAATCTCAGCAGACTGCATCTCTTCCTCACCTCCCAACGAACACTTCATTCATTAGGGGCAATCCAGGACAGAGGGACCAGAAACCAACAATAAGTCACAAATAAGTAGCAGTTTAAAAATCCAAACTGGGAAAGCAATGAGAAACTTAGGGCTGTGGAATATAAAAGCAAGGTACCTCCAAGGCTACACTGGGATAATTTCATGCAACAATTGTTGCAAAGTATTGTTTTCTTTTCGCTTCAGGTCTTAAAATATGAAAATACATCTCCTGTCAGTACACAGTAATAAATGGGGGTTTTTTTCATCAAATAAAGCTTGTACCTGGTCTTCACTTGTTAAGCCGAGGTGCATCACAAAATAGAAATGAATGAGGAAATCAGAATTTGGCAGAACATCTTGACGCCTAGTCATCATAGCGCAAATCAGCCTGTATGCCTGAAGTTTGCCTTCCTTATACTCATTTGGCAGGGTGGTTGCCTGAAAAGAGCAAAAACCTTGCATTACTACTTTTTTCCTAATAGGCAGCTAACACCAAGCTCTATCCTCAACAGATTTTCCATAAACCAGATCTGCTCTGCATATTTATTAAAGTAGACTTGAGTCCAAATAGCTTTTGGAGGGCGTCTGTCTTCTTAGCCAGTCACAACTGTAAAAATGAAAAAGAACACAACTAAACATACAGAAATTCAGTACCACTATAGATGAAAATTTTAGAAATAACTCACCTTGAACAACCATGATGCAAATATTCTGAGAGGAGGAATTAAGACAGGAGGAGAGGGAGTAGACTGATTGTCCACAGTTATAGCCAGGTTGTCCCGTATCTAATGGTTTTAAAAGAATAGAGTTAATAAAACTGATCCCTTGCTTTAGTAATACTGCTTATTTCATATTATTACTTTTGCATTTTATTTACTTGAAGGCACTACAACACTCTGAGCTATACACAGTTCCTACATAAGCCAATGAGGCAAGCTAGTTCTATAGTGCTTCCCCAGGGTCTAAGCAAATATTCCCATTCTAGGTCATACCCTGGGCTTTTACACTGAATACCAGCATTCACAGTATTCTATTCTACGCCTCTGTTTGCTACTGCTTCCTCAGTCCATTTAAACTAACTAATTTAAATCCTCTTGCCATTGAGGAACATTCTCTGTTGGGTACATCTGCTGGAAATCAAGCAAGATGAGCTTTAGGACAGAATCCTCCAAATCCCATGCTGACGTTCCAGATGCTAATACCAGGTCAAACTTAATAATAACTTTTAGGAAAAAAGAAAAATCATTATCGTTAGATGTAAGCACCACATACGATACCTTTGCAAGTTTATACCACAACTCATAAAGACACCCAAAAACTTTTGCATGGATTTTGGGTGACTGTATGTTGTTTACATCTCCAAGAATTCCCAGGATCCTCCTCCACAGCACAGCAGCAGAATCGGGATGCCAACCGATGAGGCTTCCACCGGCAATTATACTGCAGTCATCCGCGAGGAACTCACTGCTGTCTGCAAATTTAAGTTCCATTTCCATGGATTAGAAATAGGCATGTTACTTCCTCCCACCATCTTCCATCTCGAAAGCGTTCTCTCCCACCAAACCACCTCTCCCTTTTCCATCGCTCAGGCTAGGACAGGATTCAGATCCAAAACCGGCAGAAAACATGGGCTGAAGGCCATGTGCCACACAGAGACGAGACAGCTATAGATCAGGTTGCTATCAGACAGACTGCCCCCAGTCCATGGTTTGGTGTTTTGTTTGTTGTTGTGGGTCTTTTTCTGAGAGAGGCAAATGCAGTTAAATGGAACACTGATATACTGCAAGAGATTTGTTTAGTCAGTAACTGGTTTTTATGAGTAATATTTCTATTTCTAAAAGACCTTTCTTTATGATCACATAGTACAAAGTGATCTTGAAATGGACCTGAACAAAAGGGACAAAAAGTAGGCACTACTACTATATATGGTGATACACGCCAAAGGAAACACATTTATTAAAAAATTGAACTCCCTTTTGAGATAAAAATCTAAAATGGTGAAGCCATTTTCTGGCCTACAGTACCTGTTAGATTTGCAGTATCCGAAGGACTCAGCTGAAGCCATCGAGGTGCATCAGGGTCCACACACACATCTGCTGCCGCATTAACCTCGTGGTCATCTTCAGAGGCTTGCCAGGGGAGGAGCACCACCTCCACCTCGTTATTGTAGCCCAGGGATGTGTCGCTGCTCACACTTTCACCTACAGCGACGAGGGGATTAACAAAGAGCACAAACCCTGTTTTTAAAGACTACATCAGCAAAGTGTATGGCGTATGTGCAACGAGACCAAATTACAACACCGATTCCAATTGCTACAATTCAGAAAAATACCGTATTTCTCGGAACTCACTTTTTTCTCTCTCTCTACCATTTCCACGTGACTGCTGCAAGTCTGCTTTCACATCTAACTCAGCTGTACTACTGCTTCTTTGTACTGGTACCTTCAGAGAAAAAATAAATAATTTCAGCTTATTACAGCTTTGAGAACTACATTCTACTTCAGCAAATTCAAGGTGTACACGCAGTTATCAGAAATTAACAACAACTCAGTCAAGACATTTTCATGAATGTTCAGACTACCCAAATATACTTTACACCATCAAATATCTACTCTAGCAGACTGTAGCTCTACAATAGTCATGAATTATCTATGTTAAAAAACTTAGGGACTTGTTGTTTTATTTAATATCACAAAAAAAAGCACAAAAGTCTTGCCTAAGACTAGAAGATGGCCAATTACAGAAAAATGTAGAAGCAGCTGACCAGCTCCCACAGTGACCATACCAAATAGCATCAGACAGCTACAGTTCAATTCCAGGTGCCATGCTAGAAATGAGATTAAGGGTTTTTTCACGCTTTCAGTGGCTAGAGTTGCTAAATACTAGCAGGCATCTGATCAGAAGTAAATCACTGCTTGAATCTTATAAAAAAAATCACTTTTGCCTTACTTGCTCTGCTTCGTGTTCCTTCATTGCATATCCTTTATTTTCCTGAACTGATTTGGGATCTGAAGTTAAATTATGAGAACTTCCAGCCTTTTTACCTGGAAATTTTCAAAGTGAGCAAGAAAGAGACATTTGTGGGACCAAAGTACAGAGTAAATCCTACAAAAATTCCAGCTGCATCTACACATACACTTGTTACAGTTAAGTGAAGCAATGCAACATTAAAATGGAACAGATGTTCCGAAAAATCTTTCACAACAGGAAAACTTCCACAATAGGAACAGTAGAACTGTTAGCATGAATACACAAACTTTAAATGCAAGCCAGTTAATAAAGAAGTTTAAGAGTTAAATTTTAACCACTCTGCTTTATAAAAGGCAACATCCTGCATTTGTAGTCTGTAGCATCTTAAAAATACTTTTTCCAACAAGATACCAACAACCTATTCACTAAGAACAGAGCTAGAAACCAAAGTATGTAAGAGCAGCATTTATAAGGCTGAAGAAGTCTCAACACTTTTTTTTCCAGAAGTATGGTATTGCTGTATTTTATCAAAATTACCTTGAAAAAAATCAGATGGAAACTGATCCATAATATCTGAAGTGCTGCTACTTCGAGTTAGCTGCTGCTCTTGGTCTGCACATAGGCCTGTAGCTTCTGTTCCAGTTGAATTTTCCAGCTGTTGAGATTCTTCAACTTCTGTTGGTTTAATTAGAACACCAAATGTTTACACAACCTCAGAATTACGTACACATGTCAACTTCTTACCTAAGAAAACTACATGAAAAGCGACCCATTCCAATATTTCCCAAGTTACAAAACCAGAACATAACTCCTAGTTACAGAAGTTATAGTTTAAGATTTATAAAATGTCCTCATAAAAACAGTAAAGTTTAGAGAGAGATGTATGAGCAGTGTAAGTTGTAAAAAATCTACAAAAAGGACAGAAATTACTCTGGAGTTTTGGATTGCACGAGGAAGGGTAGTAAAATGTCATGTGAACAAAGTTATGTTTTTCAGTGCTAGAGACCCAAACTAGACTCTGTTCATTCTGGGAACAGAAAGAAGAGAGGAGAGGCAGCAAACCTACTATAAACTCAGAACGTAGAAAGGATGGCAGTGCTTCATGACTTTTCCTCCATGAAGAGGGGAGGGGGAGAATAAAAAGGCAACTATGCAAACAGAGTGAAAAAAAGATCTGAGCTAATATGACTATATAAAATCTATTTAATATTAACTATTACCATAAATTATAGTTAAACAAGAACTGCACTGCTTGCGGTGCTACAAACATTCTGAGAGAAATCACGCACTATTTGAGAACTAAGACGCCCAGACATATCTTTTAGATTTGCTTCAAGCATTAATAATTACAGGAAGATTTCTGTAAAGGAAACTTTAAAAATCCACAACTGTAAGCTCCGATTTGTAACTGAGTATAGCACAGACTGAATGAGATTTTGCTTTTAAATCGAGTAGCTGGACCAGTTGCACTTCTCTGAGTGGATACTTTGCTTGGACCCTCACACATTCAGCTGCCTTGTACAGTAGTTCCTTGAAAATTCTTTTCCTCCTTTTCCCTGAGAAAGTTACTTGACAATGAACGCAGTGAGAGAATAACAAAAAAAGCATTAGAAGCACTTTTTGCCACCCCTTTGTAACTTTGAAAAAGGACAAGATACGCTCCCATTGAACTTGCTCATCTTTTTTAGAGCTACCCATAATACTTAACACCCTGCTTTGAACAGATCCAAGGCACAGGAAACACAACTGGTACAAAACATCTCATCCCGTACTACTACAGAATAACCAACGGGACAGAAAGGGAACAGACAGACAGCAGTTTAAAAACATAAGGAACATGTATATAAAAGATGGCATTACAGTACCTGACAGTCTGTGAGAGGAAGAAGTGTAAGAGATACCAGGTAAGAGAGAGCTCACAGTGTGAAGCAGAAGAGGGACACTTTTAGTGGCTGGCAAAGGCTCAGAGAGGTGAACACAGTTGCTGATAGACTGGCTTCGCTTAGCTTCCAGGAAAAAATAAAGCAATAATTACGTCAGAAAAAATAACAACACATTTGGAGTTCTGAACGTCAAGATACAATGAAACATAACATTTTCAGAAAATAAAGCAAGAGAATTTCACAACAGGAAGCCCTGAAGTATTTCCCATAAGCTGTAACTTGATAACATGTGACTCTCACATTGAAAGTGTGATAATCAGCGACTTCCAAACCACAACGGTACCACAACGTGGAACATTTTGTCTGTGTATAATTCCTACCAACTCCTGGGAGCAGCCACAACTCCAAGGTAGATTTAAAACTTGAGTGTTACTGCGTGTTTGGCAACATAAGCATTTAGTCAGGGTCTCACCTGTTGCCCTCTGACGAACAATGTTCCTTGCTTTCTCAACTCCGGGGGCACCAGACGTCGTAGCACTTCGGAACCTCATTGGCTCCACAACTTCAGGATGACTCTTCCAGCTTAATGAAAAAGATCTTCCCACCACAGCTGTCTTCTGAGGCTCTAAAACACCACCTTAGAGCCAAAGAAAACAAAACCCATGTTTTGGCACAAATTTTTTGCTAAATTATGAATGGGCTTACAAGCACTCAGACGTGAAAAATACAGATCTTGTAAACATAAAGATGGACTTTTACTATTAATAGAAGTCAATCGCTGCTTCAACTACGTGCACCAATTGCAAGGTGGCACAGAAGTGTAGCTAAATACTGTAATCAATAAAGTTTAAAAAAAAATGCATGAAAGATAATTTTTCCGTTGATGACTACACCAGACTGCTGTGCAGGAAACCACGTTTCATTTCCGCTGCACAGAAGAGACTGATTTTAAATGCTTACTCAAAACTGCTAAATAGCTCTCTTCTGCTGACCCCAATTACCTTCCCTCCCACAACGAAGGACGAGAATGCATAAACCCAAAGCCCTTCACATCTGATTACACTAGATTAAGTGGTATTTAACGTTAGATTAAATTTAATTAATTTTAAGGATTAAATTTAAATATTTAATTTGTTTGGTACAAGAAACACTGAAGCCCAGAGACTAACCTTTTCCTCTCTGCTTTTTTTCTTTTTGTTCACTGAGCTTATCCAAGGGCAAGTTTGTCATTTCCACCCCATACACGGTCCTTGCTAGCACTGCTGTCAGCGAGTCCATGATGTTGGCCCACTCAGTTATGAGCTCCTCCCAGTCAGTCAGGGCAGACAAAACACTGAGCAGGTCATCCCACAGCTCCCGAGAAATGTAAACGCTCAGGTTTGCTCTGATCCAAGCCACAATGAGGGTCTGATGGAAAAGAAGCACAGGCCAATGAACTCAGCACTCTGACACCAACCTCCATGTGCATGAAGAACAGACTGGATCTATCCGCCTCCCTCTCCTAGGAAGAGTTTACAAAACAATTACTGCAAGGGAGAATTTTTTTCATGTTTTATAAGCAGGTTTCATAGTACTGTGCAACAGTACTTAACTAAAGCTATGGGTAATCATTATGTAACACCAACATAAAAACCCTCAACAAACAAAACCAACTGCAAACACTCACCCGGAAAAGTAATCCCGACATGCTTTGAGCAAACGTATCCTCTATTTGGTTTTCTTTTGGCTTCTGCATGACAGCTTCTGTTATTCTAAGAAGTATCTGTAACATCTGTTCCCTGGTTCCAAAACAAAATTGTATTTTTCATTCACGTTTTATTAATTCTACTTGTTAATCTTCACGTGCCATAAACCCCTCTTAACTCTACAACTCTGCACACCGAGAATGTGATCATGCTTCAGACTTCACAGACCATCTCCAAAATTACATTGTTTGGTTGTGGACTGTAAAAGCTAATTTTTGAGAAGGTAAAGTCAGGATGTTGAAGTTAAACAGTGTCACGACATAGACTCAGCAGAACCTGCCATCTCACAAATCAACTCAGAGGCCAGTCACAAATATGACTTGCGTAGTAAGGTCCATCCTTGAGAAAGTCCTATCAACCTATCCAACAATTCGCCCGTAAAGCTTAAATGATGATCTTTTTCTCCTTAGTAATGCAGGATACATTAAGCTTACCATGTCTTCTTATCCATTGATAGCTCCATTATCATGCGCCTGAAAATACTCAGAACTGCTTTGCAAGCATCAACCTGCTCCTTCAGAAGCAGCGGGACCTCAATGCATGGTTCCAGCAAGAAAACATTAGCGGAGTTTGTCAGGAACACCTTGAAAACAGGCATTTACAACAAGGTTACACACTCTCAGGAGTGAAGTCAAGACTTATTATAAAGCACTTGTCTTTCTCCTCCAGTCAAATCTTTCACCTTCCTTCAAGCAAGTCTCATGTTTTACCTACTACTTTGTTTTTCTACATCATTCTAGTGAAAAGTGAAAGGCACACATTCCATGGGTTGTGGGGGTGTCTCTGCTATTTGGTCAGGCACAAGTTACATTCCTCCAGCTACTTGCTTGAGCAACTACCAATACTTCCAATAAATGAGCTTCAGTGAAGACACACATACAGTTCTGATTAACTCCTATTACCTGCAGTAGTAAAAAAAAAAAATGAACCTTCTGCCTTAAAATAAATACCTGGCTCTAAGACATGGCCACAAGGTTTAAATTTAATATTACAAATGTTATAAGGGAAGCCCAAATCGTATCTTTCAAAAATGATCAACTGCTGGTCGTTGTTTTTCTTAATCTCGGAGACTGTATTATAATTCATAGGTCAAGTTAGGTGATTACATAAATTACAGCCTTGTACCCTTTCCGTACACCGCACCTGTAACGCTGCTTGAGCCCCAGCTTTAACGTTTTTGTCCTCATCTTCCAATACACATCCTCTGTTAACAGCACTGGTAAAGGAGTACGTTCTCCCCCAGCTGGATGAGCGCTTATGTCCTGAATGGTCAGAGGAAAGCTTTCAAAAATATGCTTCAGTTAGTGACAAAGCAGAAAGGAATACGTCTGTATTTATGCAAAATCATGTAAAATCTCAAAAGCTAAGAGAAAAAAAAAAAAGGGGAAAACTGTCATGTCCCATGGTCACTTCAAAAAATTTGTGTCTATTCTATTCTCTGAACAAACGGTATATGGAATTTAAAGGTTCGGAAGAGTTTTAAGAGTTGTGTTATTTAAAATATTTTATACCACTTTTTGCAGTCAATGATTGCAGTAATATTTGAATTTAAGTCCAGCAAAACTATAAATACCTTACAAAAATCATCTGTCAAAACCTTGTAATTCTCACTATGTGTTTACAACTTCAACCTCTTTCTCAGTACAACAAAACTTCCCTTTAGATAGCTTCATCGCATCAACAGTATCAAAGCCAACTTTTCGTCAGGGTTCAAAACAGGACACCAAAAAGATGGCACACAGAATTTGTGACTACCTTTTCATTTCTTAGATTAAGATGTCCGAATCCAAATATTTCATCCAGTATATACAAATCAGTAGATATTTTCAAATTCTTAGTGCACTAGGCCAAGACCATAAATTTTAAGACTGCAGAACTTATTGGTATTTCTTCCATTAGATTCTTGCTAGCATATTTGTATAGACAGGGAAAATCAACAAACTACATTTTTCAAAATAGCTCCCATCTTTTCCTGCACTCAGTAAGGTCTACTGAACACTCAATATTTATATAAAATTCTGAACCTTAAATAAAAGAGGTTTTTTAATCTTTGTTTTCCACACATTTAATTTTTTTACTTATTTACAAGGCATGTTTATAATTTAAATCATAGATTGTAGGCAAATAGAATAAAGTTAACACTGATACCATACATGTTTACCATCCATCTGCACTGAGGAATCCTCTAAGCTGACGACAGCATCCTGACTGTCTTCCTTTTTGTCTGGCTCCTCCATGAACACAGGTTTCTCTTGCAGTATCCACTTTCGATATACCTTCACCACTTTTCGTGTTGCTGATATATCAGAAGGCGGCAATAAAAAAGCCTAAATCGAAAAATTAAACCGTTTCACTGTATTTTCCCACACCTGGTTTGACTGCAGTAACAAAAGTCATCTTGCTCAGGTTGGAGAAGCAGCAATGGAAGGGCTAACAAAAGCAAATTTAAATATGACACATGGCTAGCCTATGGGAAAGTTCTGAAGATGTCTTCACACATGCTGTCAAGCCAGAAGACAGCTCCTAGAATATCAGAGAAGCAGCAGCTCAATAGTGGGATGAATGGGCACTATACAGGCTAGGAAGGAGCACAGGAAGAAGAAAAAACAAACAAAAAGCAAGAAAACCAAATCAAAACAAACACCAGACGCTTCACAGTAAAGCCTGTCAGTTCGCTCAGCTGCTGCCAAGTAGCTTCTGCACATTTACGTGACCTGGAACTGCTGCTTCAACCAATTTCCACCTTGGTGCCAGAACAAAAAAACAACAAAAAAAATTAAAATTGGGCTCTCCAGTAGGTCCACAAGTATTTTTATTCCAAACAATTGAAAGAATGTCAAATTAATGAAAAATACTAGCAGGAGCAATCAGTGTTCCAAGAGCCCTTAAAAGCTGATGTTGATCACAGGAACAAGAATCTTACTATTTGAAATAATAAATTTGCAAGCTAATAGCTCTTTATATGCCTTAAAAACAGACCATAATACCAAGAACAAAGTGGTCCGTTCCAGATGAGGCACGCTGCATCCAGCACCAGCAACAAGCTTCAGCTTCTATAAAAATGTCATCATTTTATCATTAAAACTAGACCTAAGGAGGGTCTAGATGAAAAGGGTGTGTCAAGTTTGAGCAGTTACCTGATCAACAGCCTTCATGGTGTCTGTCCTCACACACATGACATGATTTTTTTTTTTTAAAAATACAACGGCAATCAAACATACGCACTTACTTGTCGAAACACCTCGTTAACGAAGTTAACGTATCCTCGAGTGGATAAGAGGATCCTCTGCACCATCTCATAGACAGTGCGGTGCTGCTCGTCGATGCTGCAGAGGCTAGAGTTGCTGGGCCTTCTGTCAGACAAGGTGCTGCTGTTGGAGTGGCTTCTCTCCTGCTCACCTGCGTAAGACACGTCAGTTTCCAGCTCTGCGGTTTTATCTTGGTTTACCCCACCAACAGTCTGCACAGAAGGAAACACACAGGTAAGACTGAAGAGTCTCTTAAAAGGAAAAGCATCTATTTCTGTTAAATTCATTGTGAACTCTCTAATCTGAGAAAAGTCTCAACCAGCAATCTCAAAGTGAAATACATGTCTAATTCCTTACTGTAAACAGTCGCTATAATCAAGAGGAAAGCAAAGCAGCATTTGGTATTGCTGGGAAATGGTTCACAGCACAAATAAGTTCGACAGTTTACAGACTAAATTCCCAAAATCTAAGCATAATACTGATGGAGTTGGTAAGGAAAACAGCTATATGTGGAAAAAAAAAAAACCCTACAAAATTACTGAAGGGTTTCCCTTGGAGATTCTCTGCTCTATCAACAGGGGAAAAAAAACAAATAAAAACACCAAGTAGCTCATTAATTTACCCAGGGATAGCATTTCTTTCTTGTTTCATTTGTCAGTACATCACAATCATTTCCAAGGTCAGCACATACATACAAAAGAGGCAAACTTTAAGGCACACCTGAATAATTTTAGGGAGCATTTCTCCTCCATTTTTTGTATTCTGAACAGCACTTAAATATTTCTTTTCAAGAAAGAAGGTAACAAGCCACTTAATAAAAATTACTCGAGCTGCCATATATGGGATTTTTGTGCTGTAGACATTTTCATTGTTTCGTGTTGCAGTAATGTATACTGGTCTTGGTCTTATATCGGGAATATCTGGAGAGATAAAAAAGAGAAGATGTAAAGAAAATCTATCTTAAAAAACCGTAATTGCTTCTGGACTCTGACTAAATACATTCAACGTGTCACCAACCTAACGTTCTCCATACAAAACAACAGATGCAATGATTGACTGTTTTTATTATATTAATGCTTGTATTTTATCATAATTGCATTCCTCCTAAAGAAAATTGAGAACATAACAGCACAGATCTTTCCTGAACTTTGTAATTTGTATCATAATTTAAAAAAAAGCAAAAGGGCTGCAAAAAGAAGATCAAAGTCTGAAACAAAGAATTACTTCTACTACAATGTATGTTAATAAGTTTCACAGAGTTTTGTTGAGTACAGTGAGAAAGAGAAGATGGCTCTGGAACACTCAATAGTGCAAAGATTAAGAAGAAAAAGCACACTGGAAAGAGAAGTTAACTCAGGTGCAAAGAGCACCACGCAAGCTGAAATAAAAGAAAGGCCACACATGGGAAAAAGTTGAATATTGCCAGAGGGAGATAGGTTGGATCACAATTCCTTCACGCTTAGATTTAGGGAAGACTCCCCTATATGCAGGTGGAAAGCACAGACGGCCTGTGCTCAAGAGGTCAGTAACACATGAGACAAGAGAAGAAAAATCCTCAGGTGAGAGAGCTGTGGCGGTTCACCGGCACGTAACAGCGATGCTTCTGAGAACAGCTGCCATCATTTCTACTTAAAAACCAAAATTTGCAACTTACCAAGAACAGGTTTGTAGAGGTTGGTGAGCTTTGTAAAAGATGGAAACAAGTGCGGAAGATAGTATTTTCTAAACAAGGTGAAGAGAAACTTAAAACCAGTGTCTTGGTTCTCTTTATTCTTCCACTCCAAGCTTGCAGCCTTCATCATGCAGTTAAAGAGGAGCAAACAAAAAGCTTTAAGTGAATGTGTTACACTGACAATCACTCCACATTGAACAAAAAAGATAAACAATTACACCTTAACAAGAGGGATGAAAAATTAGCACTGTCCCAAAACCCCTCACAAACAAGAACGTTATCACCATGATAATTTCATACAATCACTTTTCAAAATAAAGCATTTCTTCAAAATGGCAAAACCCCTTCCAAATCTAATTTTGGTCTTGTCTTTTGATGTAAAAAAAGAGAGAAAAAAAAAAGAAGTATCTCAACCTATATAATTATCTTTTTTTTAAAAAACTGAGTTCCTTAACATTCATTGTTTATGCAGTTTTCCCTTTATTTAAAATGTTGCTTAATTTGCACTTTTAAAAATATATATGTTATCTTATTTTCTTTCCTGTGCAGATCTATTTTCTGTGCTGATCTATTTCTAATTAAAATTTTTCATGTACATGTTAATCGCATCCTTTAAAAAAAAAACCAACTCAGAAGCCATCTCTCCCTTTTTATCTCTTTCTCCAGGTGGTCCTTTACACATCTTGCTGGCTGTGTATGTGTCCAGAGAACAAGCTACATCTTTACCCCATATCAAATTTCTAAATGTGACCAAAGGCACATAAAATAGTTGATTACCCTGCAAATTTGGCTAACGTTCATTAATTCTTATCACAAGTGTGAAAAACTTCATATCTGCACTTGGAAATACCTTTGGGATGACTTTCCTTTTAAAAACAAGAATAAGAAAGGGCAGAAGACACTTTCTCCTGGTGAGGGGCAAAATCAGCTCCATATAATCAGAGTGGAGACCTGACTCTCTACCACACGTTCATTCCTCTAGATATGCATAGTTAAGAACACATATCCTCCGCACCTGAATTACCATATATTTTAACAGTAGCTGAAGAAAATAGCAGGTTTGGTCTTCAGCAATTTTCTCTCCAGAGACAGCTGGCAAAAGCGGGGTTATTTCTTCCGGGAAAATCTTAGCTAAAATAAAAATAAACCATTTTAAACACAGAAAATCTGAAAACAGTTAAATAAAAGGTATTTTCCCTAAAAAGATCTGGAAATAATCGTTAACACGCTATGAGGTTGTAAAAGTCAAAGTCCAGCAACCCGTTGGGCTTCCCCTATTTTCCCCGGCACTAACCGAGGACGGCACCACCCAAACAGAGACTCTACAGCTCCAGAAGGAGCTCCGTGGCAGGGCGTGACGCTCATTTACTCACCGTCTGGGGCACTGGGAGGACTAATGAGATTATCGAGGGTGCAGGGACCTCGGGAGGACATGAGGGGTGGGAAGCCAGGCACGAGGCAGGCAAATATTAATATCTGCTCTTCCGCACAGTTAGTCTGCAGCGCTTGAAGCCAGAGGAGAAACAGCCGTATTCCTTCACATCTTATCTGCGAGGGGATGATTTGAGGGGGGAATGGAACAGGATTAAACCAAATTTCTAAGTACAGTAACGCAGTTAAACAGCTAAGAAAATGCAGGACAAGCACTTTCATGCCAGCTGTGTGCCAGTGAGTCCTTTCAGCACACCAAGAGCCATCATATCATTCATTTAACCATGGGCACAGAAGGGCGGAAGCAGGCTGTACCCAAGGCAGTGGCACCCCAAGGAGACAGCACTGCCGACAGCAGAAAATTGTAAAGTAATATGCTTCATAAGAACTAGAGCAAAAAGAAATATGAACACAACAAAGAGAAATACCTTGAGAGCATTTCCAGTGTGTAAAAGTTTCTTCAGAATTGATCCTGGATTAGAAAAATTAAACATACATGTATCAGATACTCAAATACTCATCTTCCACCAGAGTGTTTTTTAAAAAATACTACAGAAAAAGCAAGTTTAATGCTATTTACTGTCTGGCCACTGAGCAAGTCTTTAAGAAAAGTATGGGGTAAAAAAAAAACCAAAAAACAAAGCATATCTGTTGACAATCACCATCGTCATCATCAGCATTATGAGGTCAAATATAATGTATCTTTGCAGTGAGGTACTTTGGGTTTAGTTAGATAACAATTTCTCAAATTACCTTCATTCCAAATAAAATATCTAGGGGAAATTTTGACCAAATATGACTACTTAAAAGAAGCATAAATACAGACAATATATCAGCTATTAAAACAACTGACTAAAGCCAATGTGTTCTGGACTAAATGGGCCACTTGACTACCCAGATGAAATGGTAGTAAACTGGTCAAGCAGATGTCTCCTTTTATTTTTGCCAGCACTAACTGGAAATGTGACAATAGCCCTTTCCTTGACCTTTAACTTCCACTCATTATTTCCTCTGCAACAGCAAATTCATTGTTCTTATGAAAACATGGCAGCTGATGAAACAGTGCCGGAAACCAAGCCAAACAACAAAGCCGTACTACTTGGAAGAAATATAACTTCCCCCAAAGCAGCATGAAATTTACTTTAACAGTCAGCGAAACAAAACATTGTGACCACCATTCAGAAGCAGAATTTTCATAGTAGTGATAAATCCAAGACATTAGAGGGAAGCACCAAGTTAAAAATATCTCATTGGACTTCAAGTGGTTTGACTATTAAAATAAACATATTTCACTTTTCAATGCTTCTGTACCCATTTGACTCTAGCTTTAGTCAACCTGGTCAAATGAGGAGAGCAGTAAGTTTTGCTTTCTGGCTTCTGTACACGATCACAAGGTCAAAACATTCACTATATAGTTCCTGTGACCTACAGTGTTTATTTAAATCATTAAAAAGTTAACTATCTTCAAACTAAAGACAATAAAAAACAATTTCCTCATAGTATTTATGTTCGAATCTAACTTACAATTTGTATAGGACTTTCAAATAGATTGTTATCAGAACTTCCAAGTTGTCTAGAAAAATGAATCCTGCTTTTCTTACTTGGATTTTCAAAGCTGACGATTGATTAAATCAAGCCTGTTAGATATCTGTTATGTTTCTGCTTGAGAGAAAACACCAAACAAGAAACACACAGAGCTGCAATAGCAGGTGAAGAAGATTTTTCATATGCTTTGAGAATTTTCAGCTGCAAGTCTCATATATAAGTACCAGCTGTGCATGGACAATACCAAAGGATTCTGTGGTTCACAGGACTTGTAGAACTAGGGGATGAGAAAACATTGATTTTATTTGTACTAGAATTTTTTTAAACCATTCCTTCTTACCTATACTGCGAAAATGCCATCGATAAAAAATCCTCTCAGGTAGTAGCTGCAATATTTTCTGCAGGAAACAAAACTAAATAGTCAAATTTTTACATAACAAACCGCTCCATTCAGAGGATATACAGAAACGGATAACACAAGACATAAATGAAATGGTAATATAAACATAGAGAACACAGGTGAAAGCAAATACCTATCACAGTAAGGATTTCAGCCCATCCCTTTAACTCTTGTTACCGAGAAAGACACCTGGAATGATCGTGAATAAAGATCATGACACTGTCACAAACGGCTTTCCCTTTCCCACTGCCTTGCAAACCCCCCAGATGTCAGATCACAGGCTGATTTCTAATGAAGAAGTTGCAGAAGCAGCTCGCTCTGGGTTACGTTTGTGTGCAATGTCTGGCAACGACTCCTGCTAGATTGATACCGTGTGGATTGTGAGCTTCTGGGGCTTAGGACTGTCCTCCTCTCAGCTACCGGGGCCTGACCTCCCAGCTGCACCTGCGGGGAGCAGCGGTACTGCTATTTTTACGGTGAGGTCGGTTACCTGTGTTTTCTGCTGGTGAGAGAAACCAAGTCAATTACACAAAGCTGGACTCATTCAATAAGGCACTTGCATGGAATAATGCGCAGTGGTGTGCCGCTGTAGTTTTGGGCTGACCCTGACAGAGGCAGATCAAAGGAAAGACGAGGCTGTGGTCAAACCCATCCCCCCTCGGTTCTGTCAAGCTACAGGGCACCAAAGTAAAGCAATTTAAGCACATGCTTAAGTGCTTTCCTGAACAGAGTCTTATAATCGCACTTGCAAATAACAGTTGGGGCTGCCAAATGTTGTTCTCTGTCAGTTTAGCGGATGGTAACGCCATCAAATAATCGGAATAAACCAAAACTATTTGGGGGTCTTATTTGAGTAAATACTGCTTTTAAAAGGTCTTTACAGGTTCTGAGACACATCTTTTCTTTTCCTTTTTTCCTCTTTTTTAAACTGTCAGCAGTACAGATTAAGGCTTGGCAAATAGGTGCTTTAGTAGTACCAGACAGCCAACGTACTGCTGCTCAGACTCTCAGAAATGTGAGAGCATAAACAAGGTTTCACGTAAATTTCATAGAAAAACATGTCTGGATCTTAAAACTTCTCAGCCACTGAAATATGAAGTTAAGAAGATCTATTTAAATGGGGAACTACTTTTCAACATCTACTTTTGGAAATTAGTTTAAATTAAACAGTGTTATAAATCATAGAATCATAGAATGGCCTAGGCTGGAAGGGACCTTAGAGATCATTTTAATCCAGCCTCCCTGTTGCCAGGGACACCACCTCTCAACTAGATCGGGCAACACATGGGGACCAAACGGGAATCGAACCCGCGACCTTGGTGTTGTTAGCACCACGCTCAACTGACTGAGCTAACCAGCCCCCTAAATGACTGTCAGAGGTCCTTGCAACCATCAAACAAAACCACAGGAACAAACTTCTGCACAACAAAGCACCATTAAGTTTTCAGATATACTACATGCAAGATGCAAAATGAATGACAAGTCATTTAAGCAATGGTGACCCATTTGTTGGACTTTTGCATATGAAAGCTCACAAGAGGGAATAAAGCAGTCACAGCCAAGAAAGCAAGAATTGGCATTTTAGGCAATCCTTCAGAGACGGCCAACACATGAATCATTATTGCTGTTAAAAATAGTACGCTCAAGAGATGGAATAAGATGGACTGTTTTAATTTTGACAACAAAATGCTTCAGAAATTATATATACAACACTCAGTCTTTTTAAAAATGGCACATTTCTTTCTCCATGGCAGAAGATGAAAGTCATGACAAGTTCATAGATGTAGGGAACTAGACCTCAGGTCACACAGACAGACTGGTCTTTCCTTCTTCACATCTTTATCAAATACTATTTGACATTTCTAAAAGTTTACCTAGAACAAAAATACAAATCAGGCACATCCCTTTTATGTTGTTGCTGTGTTCGGTTTCAGCGTTACTCCCACAGCTCCCTCCCCAGGGGTGTGGTAGCAGCGAGGACGGCAGGAGCTGGCAGCTGGTAGCCAGAGGTCTAGCTCCTCATCCATGAGCAGGAGGAACACGCTTGGGATGGAGAGGATCCGACCAGCTAAAAATGAGGCCACGAGTCACATTTGGGCTTTACCTGTTCGTTAGGGACCATGTTTCTGCCATTCAGATTGCGAGATATCCACAGACAAAGAATTATCATTATCTGTCTAAATACTGAAACACTAGCAGCCCATCACTTCTCAAGACTAAATCCAAAATTCCCCTTTCCGTAACTTGGCACAGGGCAGGAAGAAGCTTCCAGCCTAACCCACGGATGCTTCAAGCCCCTACAGGAGCAGCGGCACACACCGCTGACTTTGTACCCGGGCACTGATCCCACACCGTGCAGCCAAGGCGCATGAGGAAAGGCTCTGTTCAGCAAAACCCTCAGCTGGACAGATGACAAGAAATGCTCTGGATTCCAGTGCCAGAACACACTGCAGGGAGGAACCTTCTAACACCTTCAGGCTTATTACAGAAAACCAGCACATGTATTTGGTTTCCATTGTTAGAGTCACTGTAAGCAGCAGATTGTTAGAGCAAAACCAATACACATTTACAGGTGACACTAACAGGCTAACTTCAGCTTGTCTTTGGATGGAAATTCTCTCTCATTTTTTTCAATTTGCCAAAACCTGGTAATACTACTAGTGAAGATGCATGCCTTAGTATCTTTCAGATGACAGGCAAACAAATTCTTTGTTGTAAAATAAAAATCGTAATTAGAAAATATGTCTACTTCACTAAAAGCCTGACATACTTAAACACCTGGCAAGGCCTACTCATGTATTGTGAATGGAAGTCTGTGGAAGTAATCTGATGATGCACAAATAAACTTTCCCTCCTTGCCAAAGGAAACAACACATACTTCCCCAAGAGCTTTGGCGCTGCTTTTAGAGCAATTTTAACAGTTTACACATCCCAACTGATTCAGGATCAAAACAAACAACCACCAATCCTGGTTGTTGCAAAACACAACAGCGCATTGAAGGCTGCGGGAGTTTCCCACGACCTCTCTGTGAGGCACAAAGCATGTGAACCGGTTTTGGGGGAAGGCCAGTGATGGCAATATCTTACACATTACACAATTTCACCTCAACCTGAACACGAAGGGCACTTCTGGCACAAGAGTTGTGATAAGGTGTAAGCTCGTAAGGCAACAAAGTCACGTAATAGAGACTAATTTTTTGAAAAAAGAACATAACTACTCTCGTGTTTGAGTGTTAGTGAATTTTTGGCTATACTCACAGAAAACTTGAAAAAGAAGTGCTGTTACAAAGTAAAAGTACCACCAGGAAAAGCAAGCTTAAACCTCAAACTGCATGAAGCTGGAAGAGCTGGGTAATAAAAGAACAAGTTTACAGGTTTTTTTCTCTTTAAAAATCACAGAATCAAACACCCTTGCCAGGTGACTGAATCGAAACAATTCAAGTGTTGAAATAAATAGTAAGAGGACAGAAGTTCCTATCTGAGGAAAGCTTCCATATTCCAAAATCTTTTCATGTTGCAGTAAATGACATATTATCATGCTACTCTTCCTTTCCAGCATCTCAAAATCAGGAAGAAAATTCACAATAATACATGGATGCACTTTGAAAAAATGCAAAGCTGTGATTAATCACCTGCATAGTACTACCAAGCAGTAAGGAGCAGTCACTATAAAAAAAAAAAAAGCAAATTAGATTGGTAGCATCATAGCTACCAACTGAAGATACAAAAGCTCTGCTGCAGATTATAATGAATATAAATAATCTAAATTCAGAGTCCACATTTGTTCCTGCAATGGAAAAAATAAAGTTATCATGGTTAAAAGTCTAAACTATCACATAAAAACTTCTGAATGTTACAAGTTAATTCAAAGTTACACCTAGAATGCCTTTTAACTAGTCATTTCCCCAGGTGTGCATTGGAGTTCCCATATTAAGACAGTGTTGCAGCGTGACACCAGCTGGCTCCAGTTGTTGTCCTTCCAACCTAGCATTCCCAAGAACATTTTCTACACCCTCCCAAGCTCTGGTGCTCCAAAAAGCACGTATTGTTTTTCCTATAAAACAAACGACAGTTTCTTCCGCTCCAGCCTAGACTGTTAGCGATACCGCTGTGAATCCAAACTGGCTATTGATATCTTGTTTCTAGTTTCACAGCACCCTAACAAGAAATATTTTAAGAAACCCCACAGAGCGAAATAATATTGCTTTTTCAGAAAACACACAAATCTATTTAATGCTTAGTGCTTTACTGCATCTATATGATAATCCATTATAGCACACTTGAAATAGAAATTAGGTATTACTACTGATCAACACATCAGGGTATCTGTCAGTTCTTTTAACTGATTATCCATAGTTCCTTTTCTCCCAGACTTCCTGCATGACTAGGAATAATGTTAACTTTAAATCTCAGTTTACACAGGATGCTGGTTTTTTGAAGATGTCTCTCTCTCTTGTATCAAAGTAAAATAAGAAAGAAAAAAAAAAATCAAGGTCTGTAGTTCAACAGATTCACTCTGACTTAATCAATACTGCAATTTCTTTTTAAAACTCTCTTATTTTTGCCACCTTTGTTGAACCATAACACTATTGGTAGCTCTGTGCCTACTGCTGTGCGCTGCACTGCCCTGTTGCCAAATGTAAAGCTAAGGCTTTTGTTCTCAAACCTGGCACTGATGTTCCCTACAGCCCAATGTGTCTTCCAGCAGAACTTACTCCAAAGTGAGACGACAAGCATTGCTGTTCTGCCTTCCAGAGCTACAAGAGGCTGTTCTCTAACCTGCCATGCAGAGCCTCTTATTAAACAACAAAGACAAATGTGTTCTTGCTGACTAACACGCGCTCAGAGGCAATGGCAGTGACAAGGTCAGAATAATGCTCATTCCAGGAGAATGGATTCCAGGAAAAAATTGCTTTTTCAAAATAACATGTACATGATAAGAAGTTTCTATTAGTCAGTGGCAGGTGGATCTACTTTAAGCCAAGTCAAAGGTAGAATAGCTTTCCTGTGCCTCTGTGCTCAAGTACTGTTCAGTGCTATCTCCACAAGAGTTTCAGTGTTCAACTGCCAAAACCTGCAGTAATTTAGAAATTTTCTAGCTATTATTCACTGATGCAGGTGAAGCCAAGAGCCTGATGAATTTAGCACGCCCACAGCAGTTCAATCCAAATAAAGGGATACTCCATTTATTGCATCAATAAATTAATTTACAGTTATTCGTTGAGGGAAAACGCCTGTCCAAAGTACACAATATTTACTCTTGCCCAAGGCAAAACATTCAACAGCAAGATCTCTGAAATCGAACATATGCAACATACAGCATTCTGTGTAAATTCTAACTGCAAGAATAATATCTACATTATTTGAAGAGCAATAACAGATGAACCGATCAGGACGGCAGAACAAACTGTAGACGGTCAAAAAAAGTAGTTTTCTATGTGTAGGAAAGAAGGGCTATAAAAAGTTTTATTGTTATAAAGCAATAAGCCCTTTTTACCCTATTGTGCTTAAGAATCAGCCAATGAAGTCTGTGTGCCAGACCCGACGTTAAACAGCGGAAGAGGTATCACAGTAGGCACGGGGAACCAACTGTATCAGAACATACAACCTGAATGAAGTGGTAATCTGATTTCAAATGCAAGATAACCTGCAGATGGGGAATTAAGCCACTGAGCTGCATAGACGTGAGGAAAATGCAAATAGTAAGAAAGTTAAATAAAGGGGATAACCCCAAGAAATGAGAAACCAGGACCTGTGGCAGTAAGAACTCAACAATTACTTGACTTGATTATTCTTTGTAAAGAATTTTACAAGCACTTCCCACACTGGTCAGTTTCTATACACAATTTATTTCTGTAGAGCCCAATTTTACTCAGTTTTATTCAAAATGTTGCGAGTAATTAGAAGCAACACCCTAAGACAAGCAAACCACCTTAAGACAACGCCAGAGATATAGAACACTTGTTACTTGTGTTTAATATACACACTAGGTGTCACTCAAGAGCAGCAGCAAAATATTCATCGAACTATACTAGAAAAGGCAGAAGTCAATTCCTTTCATAAATATTTTTATCGATTTTTAAACTGTTAACCCTCAGCATCTGGATTCTGGATTTGTTAATCCCAAGTAATTACCTGTTTAGCTAATTAGAAGAAAACTCTACGAAAACGCCTGGCTCACGCTGACATCAGACTAAATACGGCAAGCTTAACAATCCATTAGTTTTGTTTCCTATGGCTTACAGTATGAATGTTTAATTACTAGGCATTTACATTTTTTCTTGTCCTGTGTTCAGAGTGATGTATTCTTGGCCTGTGAAGTAAAACACGCTCTAAAAAGCTGCTTTCCTACACTGCGTTAAATTATCAGGTGGTAAGTTATAGATTGCCAACTTACTTCCAATACAGAAACACCACAAAGCAGATTGCTCCAAACTAATTCAATTAAATTCCAAAAATAATTTAATTTAAAAAAAAATATAAGAAGGAAAAAAAACTATTTTGAAAAGGTTTAACTATTCATCACTTGCTCCCAAATTTTACTGAACAGGACATTTTTAAGAGTTCATCCTCTGTTCCTTAGGACAGACACACTACTGCATGATTTTCAAGTCATTTTGACAAAGTCTCTTAACTCTGGATATTCACTCAACCATAATATATATAATATATATGCATAATATATTTTTTGCTGTTGCTGTGTCTTAAAAATGTAATTGTATAGTCCTGGGCACCTACTCTCATTTTGGCCAATACCTGCTTTCACTCCTCATTGTAAAAGTTTAGGTTAGCATATAATGACAAGGAGATTTAAAGTAAAAAATTAGTTTCATGATATGGGAAACTTACTTCGAAAAGAAAAAGAATGGAGTCCAGCTCCTCCCTTTGTGATTTATTGCCTGCAAGACACACAGAATCACAGGGTCACAGAATGTTAGGGGTTGGAAGGGACCTCAAACGATCATCTAGTCCAACCCCCCTGCCAGAGCAGGATCACCTACAGTAGGTCACACAGGAACACGTCCACGTGGGTTTTGAATGTCTCCAGAGAAGAAGACTCCACAACCTCCCTGGGCAGCCTGTGCCAGGGCTCTGCCACCCTCACAGGGAAAAAGCTTTTTCTAATGTTTTTGTGGAACCTCCTGTGTTCCAGTTTGTATCCATTGCCCCTTGTCCTGTCATTGGATATCGCTGGAAAGAGCCTGGCACTGTCCTCCTGACACTCACCCTTGACATATTTATAAACATTTATGAGGTTAAAACAGAACAATATTGTTTGCTGCAAATATGGGGTATGAGACAGACACCAAAATTCCACTGCTGTAATTTAACTCAAGTCAAAGATGCTGCACCCAAGTTTATTTTTCTTCATCTTTATCTTGAATCAAAAGAGCAAGACATTTCCAAACTTTGGTGTCTCTCTCTCTTAATTACAAGTGAGGGACATGCAAAGTCCCAGATTTGCAAAGCCCTGTTGTCATGCTGCTCCTACTGACACGTCTCCACCGCCGAGACCGGTCCCGGGCGTCTCCGCAGCATTTCAGCTGAGCGATACCCGCTGAACTGCAGGGCAAAGGTCTTCAGTACTTCAAAACAAGGGGACAGGACATATATATATATATGCATAAGACCTGATTTTTGTGCCACAGAAATGTGCTTGGAATTCTTTTCAGTTACTTATGACATCTCAGAGAGCAATTCTCCATGCGTGTCTCTTCTGATATGATAAAATTAAAGCACTGCATGAATGCAAATATAGGTAATTGTGGACTACAGACTCATTAGATAAGCTCTAATACAATGCTTTTGAGAACGGTTAGGGAAAACTGACACAATAACTGCTGGCAAAACTCTAGAACTTACCTTTTTGTTTCAAGCTATTTTCCAGTGTTATGAAGTTTTCATAGAATATAAAATAAATTTGAGAATAATTGTTCTCAAAAAATTGCTTCAGGTCACTTCCATCCACAATATCTGAAAAGAGGAACAAATGGAGTTATTAGACAACACTAGAAAGCTGAAAATTGTCTTAATGTAAATTCAGTATTAGAGAATTAAATAAATGCAATATGAAACAATTCTAGTGACTTCATTACATATTCTGTACTAATTTGTGATTCTATCCTTGCAAGTAAAACAGAGAATTTTCCATTTTCATTTAATTTATGAAAGTTTGCAGTGTGGGTTAGGTTTGGGTGTGGTCCTTTTTAAAACTGAAAATAAAGATGGGATGTCCCTTAGCTATCTCAATGGCTTTTGCATTATTAAAATAAACAGGTACTGCAAGAAAAAAGAAACACCAGCAATGATTTCTGTATGGAAATTGCAAATCTAGTTCTGTTCTGACAAGTAGATCGTTTCAGAAAACAGTCTACTTGAAATTTATTTTAAAAAAAAAAAAAGGGAATTCAAACGCAAGCATGCATCACTTCCCTAAGCCTTAACTTAGGTCTAAAATTTGACTTAGCTTTGTCTTTAAAGACGGAAAAAAAAATCTAACACTAAAAAATCTAAATCTGACACTTGCAAAACACACTTCAACTTACCCTGTTTGTTCTTTATTATAATTGATTTGATCAAAAAAGACATGATTCCACCCCAAATTAAGAGGATAAAGGACAAGAATTAGCAACAGTAAGTCTTCCCATGGAGGTTTCACCTCTCAAGAAACCCATTCATTAATCAAGACAACAAAGCTGACTGCAACAAGAAGATCCAATAATATCACACAATTACAGAAAAATGAATGACTTTAGCCTTGGATGATGTTGGGGTTTCGGTTGGTGGGGTTTTTTAAAAAAATTAATTCCTTCTCAGGAGTAAAGCCTTGTTTGATTGCTTGTACTACAGAAACAACTGGTGCATGGAAACCCTTTTATGCGATATTTGTTTCCTGCGAACCACTGGTCTTGAATTTGCAAGCTAAGTGCAATTATTCCTCTCCATGAATGCATTCTGTTAAATAAAACTCTAGGAGAAAACAAGGCTTTCATTTACAAGGATTTCATATGAAGGAATGAGGTCATTCAAATCTAAACAAAAAGGAAATTTTCTCTTTAAATTGTGAAAGGAGAAAGGAACTGCCCAATCAAAAAAAGTAAATTCTCCTTTTCTATAACTGTGGCATTTCAGTGGTGACTCATCAGTTATTCTGATGTAAGCATGCATTCTTACAGCTACATCCTTTTCCCCCTGAACTATTTTGTTCCTTATATTCCTTTGCAAGATATATAGGAAAACAACTCTAACCTTAGAAGAGGCCAACAACACTAATCCCATTTACTACCTCAAGAGTAGATACTCACTTGGAAAGTAAGACTTTCTGGCCATCCTCCAAGGGAGTGGCATCCTGGTACCACTGCCCACTTAAAAAAAAAAAATAAAAAAAAATATCCAAAACACATTCAATAAGTCACACACCCAGAACTTCCATTGCTCAGTCAGAGACACAGCTTTCTTGGGCATTTCACCACCAAGTAAAACCCAGCTTCTCCCACCCACCTCACCAAAAACCAGTTGTGGCAGATAAACAGAGGCTGTGATGAGGCAGACCACTGCTTGAGAGGATGTGCCAAGAGCTGGCAGAAAGGCTAAGGCCTTTTAACTCAGCTCCCTACTACATACAGGTTTACCTTGTAGCAAGGTAAGGCTCATTCCTCTCTTCTTCAAATCAGCGTCACGGGCTATTTATCATCTGAGATAGGATAAAATACCAACTTTTGTCAAATCCCATTGACTGTAGAAGTATTTATAAGCATTCAATGAAATTAAACAGCAAGGTTGAGGTTGAATCGCAGGTATTAGATTTTTGTCTTTGGATTTACTCATAAATAGCTCTCAGATTACTACTGTTGAAAACAGCCTAGTGAATTCAAAACTCTAAGCACTAAAATCTAAGGCGAGGTGGCAAATAGGTGATCCACTGGCTAACGCCTCTGATTAACACTCTACAGCTCTGAGAGCAACACACAGGAAAAAATAGATATTCATGAGGTTACACATGTCAACTCTCATGTAAAAATTATGAAACACTTGGCTCACTAGATAGCTGCAAGTCACTCTTACTTGCCTTACCAAAGTTTAAAATTTAGGGAAACTAACTGCTCAGGTACGCCTTACTAAGAATCAGAGTTTATTGACAAGTTCTCATTACGCTTCCTCATATATTAAAAAAAAAACCACAGAAGAAAACCCACAAGAAAAAAAAACACAAAAAATGTAGAGGGGACAATAATCATGTCCTTTATTTTTCTGTTAACTACTACATGTTATTGCAGTCATTTAAGTAGTTAGAAATCCTCCCTTGATTTCATGAACTTGCAAAGTCACTTGGCTTTATGTTAGTTATACAAAGTTTTCTCAGTCTTGAGAGGTTTTCTTTATCTCAAGTACTTCAGAAATCAAAGGAGATGAAGAGCCAACTTTGCAGTCATACCTTGGTTAATGATAAACTTTTATTACTTATTACTAGCCTCATCCCAGAAACTACATGCTATTTTCACCTACCTTCAAAATAAAAATCAAAAAACAAACACCACCACCCACTTTTTCAGACTAGACCTTTAAATGCCAAAAAAAGCCCATAAGATAGCTTTCCTTCATTTTTTTAAAGGAAGGTCAGCATGGAAATTCAGTTACTAAAAAAATCCACCCATAAATTAGAACAATTTCGAAAGTGATTTTAACACCCCAAATTTCACATGAAATCTTAAGTATAGCAGCTGTTGTAAAGTAGCAAGAAATTTGGAAGCATTCACTTCTGAATGTCCTTAAATGAAAATTTCTGCCAAGCCAGTATTAATCTAGCTGTGCAGAACTGTGTAAATCAACACAAGCAACTAAAAAACTGGATGTTACTGATCCTGGTGCTCACATAATCCCTTATTTATAGGAATACACATTCCTCACCCTCATCCCTCCCCTGTTATCATCTCTCATTTTTATCCTACTACATGAGTCAGATCCCTGTCCTTTTGTTTACCATTTAATTCCTGTGATTTAAAACTAGCAAAGGACGAAACGATGGCATTTCCTTAGGAAACATAAGAACAGGAGCAGTTATTACGAGAATATGAGCCACTACGGCCCAAGCGCAAAGCAGGTGGGGACCAAGAGTGAAATGACTGGGGCAGGAGGAACACTAAGACACACACATTCCTACTCCTGGTCAGCATAAGGGCTGTCACATTTGGGGGAAAAATAAAAATAAATAAATAACAATTAAAAAAAAATCTGGCTATTTTTGAGACTTTACACCAAACGCTTTTTGTTCTCTAAATACAGGAGAGGTTCTCATCATGTGTTGCTTCATTTTTCTGTGCTGAACACCACCGCAAAAAACACACTTGCGATGATATCTACGAAGATATTATCTTCCTAAAGCCACTTTCACGTTATCTAAAATGTTTATGTTGATGTTTCCAAAAGCAGACATATTGGGAACATAACCAGAGCCCGCTTTGCCATGGTCCCTGCAAGCAAGCGTGTCCACTCAGCCAGCCAGCTGTCACAGCACAGCACTTCAGCCCATAAGCCACTAATACAGCCCCCCGGCATCGATAACAATTTTTACTTAAAACCAATGTTTGATAGGAAGTTCAACCAAAAAATCAGGTCGTTCTCTCCAAATGTAATGGACATCTGGAAGAAAAGCTATTTCCTGCGAAGTGACAGGTCCATTTTTCCCCTTTTTGCCAACTGGGTAATAAGTACCTTTCCAGAAAGCCACCACACAACACTACGTCCTGTCCCATCTGCTTCGGGACATAAATTAATTTCGTCACGCCAATAGGCATATTTTTTCCATTTGTTCCACCCGTCAGGTCTGTCACAGGAGCCTGACAACCTTCTCTGTACCACACAAAACCTAACACTCCCATCAGATGGGCAGAGCTAAGAGCCACAGCAAGTCCAGCATTTCATGTCTTTCTGAGAGGCTGGCATTTCATGTGTTTCTGAGAGGCTGAAAGGGGAATGTTACCCAAAAGCTGCTAGATTTCTTATTTCTTGAAGTCCGTTCATGTTAGTGAGGCTGGTGGAAAAGGAAGAAATGTTAAGGTTTGCCAGCTTGCACTGCAGTCTCTCAGAGCAATCTTTCTCAGAATGGTTCCATATGACATTCTAAACCTCACCTCATAAACAAAGAGTTTCTCATTTTTTGTTATTTTTTTACAATTAAATGTGACATTATTTTAGGATTGTTTGTACAGCACGTCAGCAGTAAGGCATATAGAGTTTAAATGCATAACGCATGTACGGTATCTTCTCCTGCTTTTCAAATTCCTGTCCTTAGGCACTTAGATACAAGGTATAATTAAAAAAAAAGAATTAAAAGCCCAAGCAAACAAAATATTTTATACACCTCCAGTATGAGAAACATACACCTTTGGTCCCTAGAGGCAGAGCGAACACAAACCAGACCAGCACACTGCGAACCACGGAGACTTCTCCAACTGGTTTCAATGTTGTGAATAAAAAGGCCGGGGTTAAGGCTTCAAGTGTAAGGCGACATGAGAGAAAGAGGGTCAACCTTGCCACAGAAATGGGAAATACCATTGCGGTAACCAGGAAAAGGAGCGGCCACCGCTGCCTTTTTTCCAGCCTCAACGGGAGAGCTCACACAGGCTGCCCAAGAGGGAGCGTGAAGAAAGGCTGAGGGACACCCCGGGCAGATGGGGGGTAACCTTGCCACACGGGCTGCCCACAAGAAGCTTTGACCACTCCGCGCTTCCCTCTTTTCTTGAGGAAAACCCTGATCCGGCCACCGCGGAGAGCTAACCCGGGGGA